TGATTGAACTGGCAATAGAGAACAGCAAGGCCAACCACGTTGTGATAAACATCTTTGCTCCAAAGTTGACTTGGACACCATAGGTCTGCAAGTTATTCTTGACGACGGAAGCGAAAAGACCATACAGCACCATGACCAAGATTGTGGCAGTCGTAATGAGCGTTGATGAAAGCTTGGTTTGTCAGCATCTTTCTATGTTCTCCCGATTATCACATACCGTGCAAAATATGGCAAGTAACTTGCTACCATTGGAAAAGAAAAACTTGCGACCAGCCAAGATTATGGTCAACGTGGTTGCCACAAACCCGGAAATATACAAACGGATCGCACTCAGCGAAAGTTGACGGTAGCCGGAAATCAGACTTTGGTCTATTTCTGGAAGTATGTCGATGACCTTTATTGGCGTAGAGTCAAGCAAGGCAGATAGATCGAAAGAAAAAGATGTGCTGGGGTGGGAGCACACCATCTCCGAGCCATCCTTGGATTTACAGTAGCTCCAGAGGCCAACAAAATAGTATCGAGGCAGATGTGACTTCAAGTCGTGTACCTGGGCTTGAATAATGCTGCTGGCAGCCGACGTTGGCTCATGGATTGCTTCATTTGCGCTAGAATCGACGCTAGACGCCACGCCTTCGACGGCATTTGTTCCCTCACTCTCGATACGCGCATTGCCAATATTGAACGGGTCCCGAATTTGCAAATCATGAAGCTTTGGAAAGTCTTTCAGGTCTACCTGCCGATTGCTTAGTGAATTGGTTAGACTGGAAGATTTTCGGGCGTGTCTTACTTTTAAAAAGTGTAGGCCCCTCGGCGAGGAAGACGACGAGCATCCGACAAAGATAAAAGATAGACAGACTAGAACCGCGACGGAAAATGACAATGCCGTGGATGAAACTAGCGAATCTAATATGCTCTTGGTGGAAAGCTTCATGGTTCACAAGCGAGAAGCGAATGGGTATCTTAACCGATTATGACCTTGACATCCGGGTAACATTTGAGAAATCATGTTGCATCGCAATGCAAGGAAGCTCTTTATAAAAGTCCAAGATATGGTCAGCTTAGTCCGTGTGGACAGTATTCGGCAAACCAGATAACTGAGGCCGGCGCAATTTTCCGCCTCACTCCATGGGCAGTAGTAGATAAACGTGGCAGATAAACTACCAGCAGAAGTGAGCTTCCCATAATAAACAGCTGCAGCTGGTGCAGGCAGATAATTGACTGCATTGACCGCTGGAATAGGAGGGCATGTAATAGACGGTCGAACTCAGATCTTTGGCTCACAATTCTTCCCAAAAAGGTTCAATAATAAAGCTGGTATAAATACTACTGTATGGAGTCTCCCTCGACACATTGTTCTCACGTCATTCTATACACCTGCTCATCTGCAACTCACATGTGACGTGTACTGGCTCCCATCATGTCACCTTCCAGGCAAGCAGAAGTTGAACATTGGGAGCGAAAGTTATACGACTATAAAGAACGTCATTTCGAGCTATCTGCTAGAGTGCATATTTCTCACCTCGTTTTCGAAACCGGGTTCAGAAGACAGATGGATAGCCGGCAGAACATCCGCCGATTGAAACAAATGATGAAGATTCAAGGGTGCCAACGCTTGATGCAGGACAACCATGTACCAGTGATAGTTCCCAGAGCTGATTGGCAAGATCGCGTACGTCCGCGATCTGGCAGTGGAGTCATGTCTACCTTGGAGATGGGGTTAGATTACCGGTTGTGCGCGTACGATCACGAAAATCTCATCACGGCTGCCAGGCATGTCCTCGACTACGACAACCAGTGGTGGATTGTAGATGTGTATCTAACAGATAATGACGAAGGTGCGTTTTCTCGGCTCTAGCTCTCTGAGATCCCCGTTGACAATACCCTAGCCTCGCCCGAGAACCACAGCAATGAGGTAGAGTCTGTTCGTCACAAGTTCATTCAATCGCTGAAAGAGCGATACCCAAACGACAATCGCCCACCCGATGGACTGATTTACGAGCGGATCAATCGCTACGAGGGCTACCTCAACACGCCGAGGGATCCACTCGCTGCGAATAACTGGTGGGCTGTACTGGAGGCCCTCGCGGGAAGTAAGAAAGGAAAGTATTTGAAACAATTCTTCAAACATGAGACCTTACACCTGAAGCTAAACTCTTTGCTTGTCATTCCGGGTCTTTGGGAAGGCATGCGGATTGGGCTACTTCATAAGGTGACAGCAATGCATTGCGACGAGGTGAGTTTACTCGGAAGCCCAAAGCTAATCGGATCCATCTTGGCTGACTTGGTTACAAAATCTAGCCAATAGCTTGCTACTGGGAATTGATCTTCAGCACCTTTTCGAGATTGCTTGGAGGAAGAGACGAGCTTTTACCACTTATTGACGGAGTCACGGTGGATCTGGTTCAATCTCGCGCTCCTAAAGTCTCCAGCAAAGATTTGAGGTTTTTGCAAGACGAGTTAGAGGAGGGCAGGCTTTTTTCGAACTACTCGGAAGCAGCTCGACGAGAGATATGGGCGCGTTTGAAAGAGACTGATTATCCAATTCCAACCTTGAAAACATTTTTCAAAGATCGGCTCTACCTTGAGGTCGCTCAAAGTGTCATGAAGCGACTGTTCGTCCGGCCGCGAAACGAAAAGATCACCATTGACCAGGGTGTGTACGGGAAGTACGACACTCAGGTCCCCGTCTCAATGGCGTTGAGACAGCAATGGCTAGGAGACGACCTACTTGAATTTTGGCGCTTCAGTTTCCAGTACGGATTTGAAATGACCAATCACCAACGCCTAAAGTGGCCCAAGGACGCTGATCCAGTAGGGTTGTTTGGTCAGCAGAGCTCCGAATCGTCTTTTCTCTCCAAACAAGAGATATGGCGCCATTTCTTTGCACTCGTGAGGGCTAGGTCATTCCAAGCACCAGTCACAGACGACACCTCATTTCCAATGGGGGAATTACCTTGCCCTAGGCCGTGTGAATACCCAGAAGACTTGACCGAAGAAATTGAAGTTGCCAAAAGATGTGGAAAGCCATACTCGAATACTGTCGAGGCAGATCGATTCGCTCTGTCGGCAGAGTTGTTGCAGCAGGGCCAACCCCCGGTTCGCGTGACAGCGGGCTTTCTCCGACAGTCTGTTTTCAGGGCTTTCTTTAGCTATCTTTGGAATAGCAATAGCCAAACACCCGGTCGTCGTCCTCCTCCTCCTCCTCCTCCTCCTCCTCCTCCTCCTCCTCCTGAGGATAACGTCGAAGTTCACGATCGCAGCGAAGAGCTGACTAGGGCAGACGTTGGCGGGAACGTGATGGTAGCAGACGGCATGGAAGTAGATCCTGGGAGCCTCAGGCCGAGCCCTCTCGCCATCTCAACAGCCCGGACTCATGAGAATGTGGCTTCTGCTTCAGCCGCTCATCTGTCACCGTTGCCTTACGCCATGCATATCAGCGTAGCAGGAACAACAAGAACATTAATTCTGAAAATGGATGACTCCTTTATGACTGACTTTTCGAATGGTCTGTCTGATCACCACTTCACTGTTTGGATTGATGAGGATGGGCGATCCATTCGCCCGGAGAACTGCTACTCGCACTACCTGGACAATGCCTTATCGGTTCTTCATGCCGAATTTAGGGATGATGCGCAAACTAGCTACGATAGTACACCCTCGCAAATGGGCGCTGGGAGCAAGAGAAGGAGGGTTGATACAGCCAGAGCAGCTAGTGCAAACCAATGGGTGCAGGAGCAAATTGTCAGGCTGTTTGATCTGCATAACAGTGACGAAGGCGAGCTTTGAAGGACAAGGCGGATTATATCCGGGCTGGTACCGCGAAAGCTCCCGAGCATGGGAAAGGTCATAACACGGAAAAGAGGGAGCTAGAGTTGTTGAGTTTATATGGATGAGTTAGATGCAGATTAAAACGTCTTACATTGTGTATATCCGGAAGGAAATTTCAACTGCGTAGCAGTGCCTTGGCCGCGAAGTCCGAAGCTTTGACTCGAGATGAAATTCCCCATTGTAGTCTCACTCAGACCAACTACAGAGCAAAAGATTTACGAATTGCTGTATTGGTATATACTTGGTGAGCTTTGCAATACGATAAGCGCATAGAACGTGTAAAAGAGGATG